AATAAACCTTGAATAAATTCTTATCTAGTTCAATAATAAATATACAGGGTACTTTGTTTATTAAATTTTAAAGCAGTCTTTTGTGCTTGAGTGTGAAGTTCTGTAGTATGGAATAATATTCTATTTTGTTTAATATTTTAAATGTAATATGATAATCTCAAGATACTGAAACTGAATCCTTGTTTATTTAATGTACTTTTATATAACCATACATACGTACACACACACAAACCACCTTTCATGTGTACTACTTTCAGTCAGAGAAAAAAATTCTGGTTGCTTCATTAAAAAAACAGTACAGAAGATGCACACATGCTTATATGCACTTGTTGAGGGCAAACACAGATTATTCACTATTTCTGTTATCAAAGGAGCTTCACGTTGCAAATCCTCCATTTACAAATCACAGAACCTTAGCTTTGCTTAATCTTGTCATGTTGTCACATTTGACTAGCCATGCGAACTGACCTAGAACTGTAAGCACTGGGAAGGCAAGCTGTCAAAGAGATAATGAAAAAGATGCCAAAAAGGGCTGCCAGTATTTTCACTCGGTGAGAAAAAGGAATTAATCAAACTTCATGAAAGAAGAACAGAGGATAATCAAAGTGTTTACTGATTTTTATCAACTGATCCAATAGCTGAACATCTTTACCACACAACTACCAAGAGCAGTAAAAGCTGTAACAAATGGAATTCCATATGAGTAACTATTTACAGCAGCAGTAAACACAAGTTTACACTGCCAACATAAAGGACACTTGAATTTATAGAAGTTGTTTAATAATGTGCCTTAGTACAACATTTCCTAGTCTTTCCAGAGCAAAAACTTCAGTATCTGCTAGTTTTCACAGGGAAAAACAGTACAGCCTTAAATAAATACTAGCACAAAGACCTTACAGGTGCTCCTTCATCTTCATTTTTTATTTTATCTGATTAGTGGAAGAGCATAGCATAATAATAAAAGCATCTCATAGAAAATGGTTATTTTCCCAGTCAAATTGCTCCATGAAATGAAGTCAAACCCACAGGCAGCAATACTAAAAGGGAAGAACCTCTCACAACTGAACATACGTCTTTACACAATAATTCAAAAAGGCTGAAGGAAATATCTCTGAAACTGCATTTTTCCAAAGCAGTTTGGATTACATGTACTTCTCGGAAATTCCTTTGAAAGAGTACAAGCTGATCAATATCTCCTACCAGACGTATGAATAAGTAATGAGATGCATGCAAGCATGTATGGCAAAATTTTGACCAGCTACAATTATTTATGTGCCGTAGCAGAGGTACGCCACAACAGGCACCTTAACCATTCTAAGCATTTTGTCAAATATTCATTTGCTTTTAAGTAAGTATCGCCATATTTGCTATTGTTTCATGAATTAAATTTGTGGTAGTGTTAGTGTTAACAGGTTAATGACAGTATACAAGAGAAATTGTGTTGGTCAAAAATTGCCAATATTCTGTTCAAACTATTTCAATAGTACAAACTCCAATGTTTGCTTCTTTGAGCTGCCTGCTTTTATGAAACGTTCTTCCTCGAGTTATAAAACTAAACCTTTCAGAATGTTTAATCTCTTTTGGAGACTGTATCTTTCTCCAAATGGAGGTCAGTAACTTAATCTAAGACTGTCAACTTCTAAAGCTTTATAATGCATTTCTTTTGCACACACACACACAGAGTCCCGCCTCCTGGGGATGATTCTGCTCAAATATGTAAATAAATACAGTCACAATTGGACAAATGTTATACCCACTTCCACCATACTTCATTCCAAATTTAGGTTTATGTATACACTTGCCTCTCTGTTATTTCAAAATCATAAACTGCATATACACTTGGAAGAAAAATAATACCAGGCATGCAACTGCACTGGATTTTTTTGTTTGTAGATGGAAGGTGGATAACAGTTAAAAATTGAAGGAAGAGTGATATAAATATAGAACAATGATCCTGTCCCATATTTACACAAAAATCATAAAATGTAATATGCAGGTACATCCTAGAATGTCCTTGGAAAAGACACTACAATTTTTTTTTTCTTTACAAACTATGAATTTCAATCTTACAAAACCTAAAAGAAAAAAAAAATATATTGAGCACCGATTTGAAAAATTCATTAAAAATGCTAAAGATTCAAAATGAACAATGTTCGATAACTAATATGTAAATAGATCATGGGTTTATTCTGCGTCTCATTCTGATTTATTAGGAGCCTGATGGGGCAAGATGCCCATTGCCCCCATCAGCCAGGAACCTCAGGATTAATTCTCCCCTAATGTACCCATTGTCAGAGATTTGCTAGAGGAAGGTCTTAGAGATCCTTGTTAAAATTCCATCATCAAACTGACAGGAGGTTTCCGATAGTTTCCCTACCTCTGTCCTAGTTCAGGTCTGTTTGCAGACTCTTTAATCATGCCTGCCAGAGACGATCTATCCCAGAAGCACAGAACATCTCTTCTGAAGAGTAATTATTTTTAGCCTGAGAACACACTGGATGCAATCAAGAGTGAAATATTTTTAAATTTCCCATGGAAGGATCCCTCTGTCAGATACCTGAATATGTTTTCTTTATATAATGTGCATGCAAGAGCAGATACACATACATAAACAGAAATGTATATATGGACACACTATCCATTCGTTAACACATTTATTTATGCTTCTATTCCCAAATCAGAAAAGATGTCATGTGGCTGAGGGCTGAGTACCCTCTGGCAGGAATGATAAAGTATTAGGAAGAGAAGAGTGAATATTACCAGCAGAATCACCCAAGACCTCCCATTTCCATTTGATGATAAAGTTCAAACCAAAAGTTTACTTGCTATATTATTATTTGAAATTTACAAACACACACATTCTTTACAAGGAAACAATACAAACATACATATACTCACATTTCAAACATCGAGCATATTATCAGTATCTTCACTTTATATCAATTTTACAAACACAGTTGAATTACTGTAATGGAGTTTAGGAGCACTAAAAAAAGCACTATAAAGTTGTACTGTAGGTGTTTTGCATGCATCTGAAAAACCACAGGAAAGTTAGCTTCAGTTCTAAAAGTTTATGTATCTCTATATATGTTCCATGTATTAAAACAAAACATCACATAATAAATTAGTTGAAAGTCAACTTACAGATTTGAAAGACCAAATGCAACCATGGCACCTTGTACTACAGGAATATGGGCTAGAGAATTGTTTTTTTGTAAAGCCAAAAGTCCTTTAAATTCTATGACTAAAATTTAGGTATATAAGAAACAGAAGATACAGGCTTTCATTAGCTTTCTCCTTCAGATCGTATTACAGAAAAGGCACCTACAGTCACCTATCATGGATATGTTTGTCATATGGTCAAAAACATACCTAACAAAAATACCTTATTGTTGAATCAATTCAACAGAGGTGATCAACTGGTAAACTGAAAAGTTTTAATAAATCTATTTCCTTCTGTGTAAAGTTCACTGAATTTACTGATAAACAAGAGTGCTATATTTTTCACTGGAATTCCAAAGTAGTGATGTATGGAATATGTATAATATAGTCTTGGACACTTAGATTGTGCCTGAACTGAGGGGAAAAAAAAGTCTTTATTAGAGAAATAAGTATTGCTTAGAAGGGTTCACTCTGTAAAACAGGAAATTGTTTTCAGGACAAGAAAAGTATTAAAGACTGCATGTCTATCTCAAGAATTCCAAGTTTAAAAATTGCTGAAATAATTATATTTAGTCTTACTTAGCAAGGCCTAGATTTATAAATTAGTGGCCTCCCTACTACAGCTCACTCTAATCTGGAGCTGAGCAGGAAGCACAAGTGAAATAATGAAAGCCAAAATCCAAGTCTAGTGAGATCAAGAAAGTGTCAAATGTTGACTTCTCAAAATGTATTCTCTTAATGATGTAGAACTTTGAAAAGTCTATGTTAAATCAGGTTTTGTTACGGAAGAACTTTTCAGGTTACCACCAAAAATGCTATGGCTAGCATACAAATTATTACAATTTTAGCATATTTTGGCTTTAACTATGATCTTCTTTTTCATAAATGAAAGTTTTTATTTGTTTCTATGTAGGTCACTATTGCATAAACAGAAAACTTCACCTTTCATTTATTTCTGCTAATCTAAAACTCTATAAATAAACACTTCTTAACACCAACATTTTGTGTCACACTACATATCCTTTCATCTTTCAATACAAGCAGCTTCTATGAACGCAGTAGATTTTTTGCATAACATTATTGGCAGAATATGTCCCGGCACTCTTACTATTTATTTTAGCTTTTGATTTCTTATGTAGTGACATAATACCATCCTTACCTGAATTAAGACTAAGATTGTTCAAACTCTATTGCTTAAAAGAGAGAAAATCCCTTGACACATTCAATAGATTTATAAATTACCATTACCTTTTAAAAACATTGTTCATTCTTCTGTACCCATGGCTTACAACATGATAGTATATTAGCAAAGCAGCTAAGACTTTTTACTTACTAGAGAGCGATCCTCTGAAGACACAGACCCTCTCTCCCACTATCTTATCCATAGGATAGACTTTGTGAGTGCTTTAGGGTCTGCAGTACCCTTGTGGGCAATATTTGCCCCCAAAGAGTTGAAAAGAAAATTGTTAAAACTATAGCACTTACAATGTCCTACATACATCTAAGCCTTTACTCTTTTCTTTAGTTCTGTTTGTTCTGGCTTCTTTAAAGTCACATCGTGATTGTACTGCACAGTAAGTATTTATTAGAAGATTTAACATATCCTTACTTTTCTAGGCCATATGATATTTAAACTGGAAATAAAACACCAAAGTCAGCAAAATAACCTAATGCCTTTTATATGGCAGAACCTATAGGCTCAAGCTATAAATTAATTAAACTATTCCAAAGATTTATACTATGGACTTTCCTATGCTTTCTCTTACGATTAAATGCAGCATGTGAAAAAGGATATTGAGACCTGGATGGATGCATCAAGAAGTATCAATGATTGTTACCTGCAGAGGTGTTACAAGAAATTTCATCTGCTGCAACGAAGACGAATTGATTTCTGCAAGAGAAGATAAAATTCACAATACTGCTTGCTGACTGGGAAATGTGCTAGCTGCCAATTGACTTGATGTTTACAGATGGGGTAGGGTAAGGGTGCTTAATTTTAATGAATGTAGCAAGAAAAAGTGTTGACGTATTTCAGTACTATAGAGTTTATAAGGATCATGAGGTAGACATGCTGGGACCTTTTAAATGAAATAATGGTGACATTTGGATATGGACTATGTACAAACTCTTGCATTGGAAGCTTCATGTTTAGTGTTACAGATATGTCAATATATTTATGAAGTCTAACAAAAATAAAACGATATTTATATTGCTATAGATATTAAAGGGCACTACTGCAAAATATGTAAAAAGCGTTTTTTGAAAAAAATACTTGCAATTTACTTCGTGCATCTGAAAAGAGGATATTGAAAATAAAATATTTTGCTTTTTATATGTCTAATATGATTGCAATCAGAAAACGAATTTTCTGCTATTTATTAAAAAAATGACATAGTATATTCTCATATACTGTCATCCAAATACATACAAAAGTCTTTTGCAGAATCTTAGGAGAATAAACTAGAGATGTAAGTAATTTAATATAAACCTTCTCTTGCAAAATTCTTTTTTAAGCCAGGTAACTAGATAATAAAAAGAGAAACGCTAAATACACTAATATTTCAAAATGCAGAAAACTTCACTACAGCACAAATCCTGATTTGTCCTTTCCAAAGTCAAAGCAAACAGGATTTGGGTTAGTGGAAACCATGTTTAAGGATTAACATCAAATTATTCCTTTATATGCATATACATAGCTTCCTGGAATTACTTTTGTGTTGTGTGGGATTTATAAAGAACCTGGGTGAAGTTTTAACACTTGGGTGCTGTTTTACTCCAAATTGCATGTAGCTTTTCCAGCCTGCACTGCTAGGCATGGTGAAAAACGGAGTTTTTCTGGTTTGCACAGCTTTAATGCAAGAGTCTACCAAATAGGAGCTAGAAGGAACTAGTTCTCGCTTGTACTGAGGGCTACCTGGAAAACTTAGTTCTGCAAGATGATAAAAGCTCTGTCAAGCATTAAGTACTCTGACGATCCTATTGAAAACTATTGAGTTCAGGAGCAAACATCTCTTAGGGGTAACAGAACCTTGAGGAGTTAAGCCCTAAGAGAACAAAATCTAGTTCTATTACTTCACCTCCAATGTTTTAAAGAGATTTGAAATTCTCGTTTAGAAATCTGTGAACCTTGCTACTTAGAAGTTGACATGGGCGGGGGGGGGGGGGGGGGAGGAGAGAGAAAAACAAACACCACAAACCAAACCCAAAATAAGGAATCTGTAATCCATACTATAGGGACAGGATTGATTAAGATCAAAAGGAGTATCTGATCATTGCCTCTGGCCTCTCTCAGAGATACTAGCACCTGCCTTTTAGTATGAATGAACTTAGTGATCAAACTGTATATTCTTTCATTTTCAATTGGATGTACAATTTTCAATTGGTAGTTTTGCTCTTTATTTTGTCATCTGCAGCAATTTCACAAGCTAATGAGATCTACCTAGCATGTAATGTTAGAGAGATGAATTTAAAAAAATGAAGGGGGATAAATTTAGCATTATAAATACAGAGCTACTCTGTATTTCATAGGTAGTATAATTTGTCACTGTATTTACTGCTATCACCTCTTTTATTATCACCTCTTGTGATAATTATATAGAAAGAAACAGGTAGATGTTTGCCTAAAAGGGATTCATCCAGTAGCAATGCAGACTTACCAGCTACTGTTGTACAGAAAATCCTTTTGATTCATTTCTATGAAGTTATTAAACTGCCCTCTCATTTAAATGAAAAGATCACTTTTCCTTAAAAACTGCCTCTAAAGTGGCTAGCTGAGAAGCTCCTTTTATTTATCTCTATTCAGAACATTTGTTGTTGTGGAACATTGAGCCACAGAGACTATATCTTCAGATGCCAAAGAACAGAATTATCTGTAAGAATAATATGCAGGTTTAGTTACTTACAGAAAGACCCCAGAACACTAAATGCTGTTTGTCTTTTGGAACCACAGAAGTTATTGAAACTGTTCTGAAATCTTACTTTTTATTTCCAACTCTTTACTAATTGCTGGTAGAAAATTAATTTTAAAAAATTTAACCCAAACTGATACCTATTTAAAAAACATCTACCATAAGACATTCCTTGTTATACTGCTTCAGTTTACATAGGAAGATACTATTTTCCCTGTATTTTGCTTTTGTAAAATTCATTTCACAACTCCATAAATCAATTTTTAAAGTAAGGAGAAAGTTACATATTGGTCCACACAGCAACTGTGAGAATGAAAAGTAAGACTAGGTGCTGGAGTTCAATAAGCCAGTTCAATTTTTTATAAATAATGAGGTGTTATTGGTAAGAATTACAAGAAATTATTTAGTAGTTTGATGGCTTTAATGTTCTTATAGTGGCAGGTTTTTATTTAGTTAAATTCTATACTATTGTTTACATAAACCTAGAGGGAGAACTGATAATCAGAGGTCTCACTATACACATATATCACACCTGATGTCCAAAGCAAGTATTATTCCTTACTGTGGACAACCCTATAGTTTGCAAAAGGAGTCCTTCTGAGTTAAGCTGACAGTGTGGTACATCATATTCTGCCTGCCTTAAAGTACATGACAAGCAGACCTGGAAAAGGGCAGCTAACCTAACTCAGTCCTTTGCAAATGTAGGGTTGTTCCCTTTAAAGACCAATTTTATGCACTAACTGTATTGAGCATACAAGGCTTAAAAAACTCACAAGTAAGGTGTGGTGAAAATTCATGATGCATTTTAAGTTGTTTTAATGTTCCTCATCACTTCTCCGCTTTTTATTGATTCAAAAAGATACAAGAAATGTAACTGGACCCAGCTTTATTACACAATAAGCCCTGCTCAGTTATTAAGATACAGAATTGCTTCCATCAATTTAATTTGTGTATTAACAGTGTAGAACAAAACTTTTACTGCTCATTGTTTTATACTTCAGACGTAAAAGAACACACATTTAAAATCCAGTGAACTTTTTTTTCTTTAAATAAAATTTTGAAAGTTGTTACTGGTTGTAAGGGAGATAAACAGAAAAACAAATTGAAAGAGTAACGTGACAAATACATTGATCTGAACGTACAGTTGGATATATTCAACTTGCCAGATATTCACACCCTGGGCTAAGTGCAATCCTTTTAAGTGCTGGAGTGGCAGCCTTTGGCAGCCTGAGCTCTCTGATGGAAACCCAGACAGTGCAGGTCATGAACATGTACTTCTGGGACTCAAAATGGCTGTGTTCCATCTGAGCAGCTATTTCCCAAGGGCAAACACTTCTGCATACTACTACTTCTCTCATTCCTATACATCAATTTCTTATTTCTTCTAGTAAATTGAAAACTACCACAGATTTTTACCAGTATGGTTGCAAAGATATTTTTAAAGTTGGAAAAAAATGTTTAAACATTCAATGTATTTCCTGAATTCGGACAGAAAGAGAGGAAGAGGACAGCAGAAGTAATAGTAAGTGATTTGATGCTCTTTCTTACTTTGGGGTAGTTATTGATCCCACATTACCCCAATTTTCAAAAAGGCTCAGATATGTTCTAATTTCCCCTGCACTGTTCCCCATAGACCATTTGGCAGATTCCTAACAAATATATTCCTCGAAGCCCCAGATCTGGCATAAACCTCTCTATCAGTTTCAGCACCTGTTATTTCTACCCAGCAGGTCTTCTGCATATCCAGTACCTTAGGTGCTTTCTTTCTCTCTCCTTGATGCTGTTAGTTTGGTGAAAACAGGCCATACTATAGCACAAAACTGATTTTTTTTTTTTAAATCTTTAATCACTAGAGTCCAAGCCTTATCTTCGCTATGGCTGTGTAACATACAAAACTACTTCTCTGAAGAAACCTCACATGTGAATACCTTCCCTCTTTGCTTCTTGCTAAACTGTATTCTAGAAAGATTCAATGTGGTAGAACGGGGAACAGCTTTAGGAGAGGAGTTTTTGACCACCCTCTGTCAGCCTTTCCATCTTAGCATCTTTTTCACAGGAGAGCTTGGAAAAAAAAGGGATGATATTCTACGTGCATCTTTCTGTACTGCACTTTTTATTACAGGAGACCTTTTATTACAAGATCCTTGATTAGCAACATTAGGGCTTATGCCCTCAGGAATGC